TTATGGATTAAAAAATATATAAATTAATTAAAATTAAAAAATTAAAAATAAAAGTTTAAAAATTAAAATTTAACATTTAACTTGTTTTCTAATGACCTTATTAATTAATAATTAGACTACTAATATGTTCCATATCTGAAGTCATGTGAACAGAGTTCAAATGGTGGCCAGATGCACTTCACAAATTAACCATACATCCATTTTTTTACGGCAAAAACCTATGACTTAGTTTTTACTTTATCAAGTTTGAAGGTTTTAGTTATTTATTTTATATTATGACATTTTTAATCTTTTATTTTATTAGATTTGTAAGTTTTAGCCATTTATTTATTAAAATATAAAAAAATAACTCTCACTTTATACTGACTGTTAATTTTGTTAACTAAAAGTAAATTTTTATCAATTAATAATCAATTAATAATCAATTAACAAAATTAATGAAATATTATAAAGTTGGTTCTGTTAACTCTATTAACTGAAAGAAAGTTTTTGATAACTAACAGTCAGTTAACAGAATTAACAGTTAGCTAGCAGAATTAATAAAATATTACAAAGTAAGAGCTATTTTTTTCAATTTTAATAAATGAGAAGCTAAAAATATTATAGTATAAGATGATGGGTTAAAATTTATAAATCTAATAAAATGAGAGATTAAAAATGTTATAATATAAAGTGAATAATTAAAACCTTTAAATTTAACAAGGTGAGAGGATAAAATAAGCTTTTGCCTTTTTTGACATCACATCGGGCTCTATATTTTTAAAAGCAGCATTGACTTTCCAATTCTTTAGCATCTAGACTAAGATAAATTAGCTTTGTTAGCTAATTCACATGATAATCAAAAGTTCCTAATCCTAATTCACCTAACAGCATAAGCAGCTTCATTACACAGGTCTTTATTCCTTCTGCATCATCCGTCCATGAAAAATACACCTTAATTAATTAGAAAGCCATCGGAAAAGACAAGTCCATTTAGATGGAGTAAAAAGATTTACGATTAATTGTTCCCCACTTGCCTAATCTAATCGCTATATAAAATTACATGTATGTGATACATGCAATGTATTTTTTATCAAATGATGAATTTTATAATAAAAAATAATATTATTATTTTGTAATTTATTTTTAATTGTCTTAATATTTGAATATATATTTTTAATTTAAAATTTTTAAAATTTTAATTATTTAAAATACTCTCATGATGTATACTTGTTAGTGTACTGCTCACAAAGAGGTAGTTTTTTTTTTCCTTTGTATTTATGACAAAAATATTTTTAAATTAATTTTTATGTAATTTAAAATTAATTTTTTAAATAATTTTAAAATATACCCATATTAATATGATATATTAATAAATAAAATTTTAAAATATTAACCCCAGACAAATTATACTTTTTTTTATGAGTAGATTCAACGTTTGGAGTTGCAAAGGGTAATCGAACTGAGCGGCCAGGGCACAATTATCGTAGTTCCAAAAAGAAAAGGTACCAGGTGTGACTATTTGCTATAATTTGTCAGTTACTGATGTTTTGTTCAACCTAAAAGTTGGACCATTTCAAGCTGCCAGGTGTCTTACTGATCCTGAGTTGCACGAAATATCTATTCAATCTTGGCGAAGATCGATTTCCCCCACTTTTTTTTCTTTTTTTATTTTTTTCCTGAGAAAGAACAGGAGAGATCATATGGGTCACCCTTCATCTGTTGAGCCAACAAATTCTCTGTAATCTTCTCCCATGCATTCACACAGAGGTGTTATCATTAATCAACATAGAAAGGATTTTCACGTTCCAGTCTTCCAGATCAGGTGGTATTCCATCTCATTTGGTAAAAATCACTCGTCTGATGTCATGAGTTTAAATTCAGGCCAGCACCTTCCCCCTTTTACATTTGGAAAATAATATATTTGAACCAATTTCCTTCTTTCGAAAGAAAAATCAACATAAAAAGGTATCTTTCTGGAAATAAAAAAACTCATTTTTTTTTTTCAAAATTAAAGAAAAAGAAAGAAATTATATTCCCAATTTGCAAGCTGTCAAAAGAACTCTGTTTTAATAAAACAAAAAAATCATCCTATTAGTCCAATTGTATTTTTTTGTAAAATACTGACTATTAAATTGAGAAAATTCTTTAATATTAGTCAAAAAAAATTTTAATAATTAATATTTTATAATTTAAATTATAAAATATTTTATTTTTTGTATTCATTTATTATAATAGGAATAATAATAATAATGGTGCTTGTTGCATAAATCTGGTATACAGATGAAACAAACAACCGATAAAATCAACACCTAAATCTCATTGGCCCTCTCATCTTCTTGATCATTCTATTAAAATAATATTATAAAAATTAAAATAAAATTATAGGAACTATAGTGGTTAAATAATAACCTCATTCTAATACAAATCAAAATTTAATCAGAGTTTCTTGATTCAAGTCTTACGATACATATAGGTGAGAGTTATACGTTCAAATCCGGACAATAAACACAAACTTCTTTTGCCAATTAAAAAAATTTAATAAATTAAAATTAATAAGATGAATTGTTTCTGGTCAAAAATTTTGGGGAGGAGGATGAAATATGATTAGTTTTACAGAAGAAAACTTAAAAGAGGAGGAGAGACTAAAACAACCCACCAAGGTTGCCTTACATTCCACGTTTCTTTCTCTTCAGTATTTAGGGCCTTTTGTTCCTGTTGGTACTTTTTCCTCTTAATACCCCTCCTCTTCTCATGCTTTCAGGTTTACAACTTTTTTCTGTTTTTTTAACCTCCATGGCTTCTGCTCTCTGCTTTTCTCTCTCGATTTATCTCCACTTTTCTTCCTAACTGTCTGCAACCTTTTATATAAGCCTTTTCCCCCTTATCTCTTCGCAGCCCCAACTTTTCCTTTTTAGTCTTTGAAGTTGTTTCTGTTTTGTTTTCTATGTTAGATACCTTGAAATTGGATCATTGAAGCTTTTTGGTGAAAACCCTTTTGATATATAGAGGAGATTAGGGTGTTTTAATAGGATAATTCCGAGTTTTGAAACAGAAGGTTTTAGGTGCAAGGGGAAGAGAGCAAGTAGGGTTTTAGCTTGGAAATGGAAAACGTTTCTGGAGTTGGGAAGGATGAAGAACAGATGGATATGCCGCCTGGATTCCGATTCCATCCCACAGATGAAGAGCTTATTACTCACTACTTATACAAGAAAGTCCTTGACATCAATTTCGCTGCTAGAGCTATTGGGGAGGTGGATTTGAACAAATCTGAGCCATGGGAATTGCCACGTAAGTGTTGTGAATCTGAATTCTAGTTTGTTTTTATGTTTGTTTAATTTTCAGACATGTAAATTTTGTCTTAAATTCTTTTTTGTTTGATTTCTTGGATAAAGGGAAAGCAAAAATGGGAGAAAAAGAGTGGTATTTTTTCTGTGTGAGGGACAGAAAATACCCAACTGGATTGAGAACAAACAGGGCTACTGAATCTGGGTACTGGAAAGCAACAGGGAAAGACAAGGAGATTTACAGGGGGAAAACATTGGTTGGAATGAAGAAAACCCTTGTTTTCTACAAGGGTAGAGCCCCCAAAGGAGAGAAATCAAACTGGGTGATGCATGAATACAGATTGGACGGTAAATTCTCTGTCCACAACCTCCCCAAAACTGCAAAGGTACAATGAATGACCCTGAAACTCTTCGCCTGTTTTCCTTTGTTTTTTCCCTGTTTTTCCGCTGTTTTTGTGTAAAAATCATGCTGATGGGTCCTTGTTTGTTCTTGTTATGTAGAATGAATGGGTGATTAGCAGGGTGTTTCAGAAGAGTTCTGGTGGGAAGAAGACCCATATTTCAGGGCTGGTTGGGATTGGCTCTTTTGGAAATGAACTTGGTCCTTCTGCTTTACCTCCATTAACGGATTCTTCACCGTATAGTGGTGGTACCAAATCGGCTCGCCCCGAATCAGCATACGTGCCCTGCTTCTCCAACCCAATCGATGTTCAAAGAAACCAAGAAAACACAATCAATTGCTTCAGCAATCCTCTCCTTAATGTTTCTTCAAACCCCACCGACATTTTCCCAAGAATTCCACTTTCAAACTCGTTCTACTCTGCTCAATCTGCCCCTGTTCCATCCACCCTGCAATTTCCCACCTCTGTTTTTATGCAGGACCAGTCTATCCTGAGGGCCTTACTGGAAAGCAATGGATCAACCCTGAGACAGAGTTTCAAAACAGAGAGGGACATAATCAGTGTTTCACAAGACACAGGATTAACAACTGACATCAACACTGAGATCTCTTCTGTCATGTCGAATCTCGAAATGGGAAAGAGGCCATTTGATGATCAAGATGCTCCTTCTGCTTCAGCTGGACCAGTGGACCTCGATTCTTTTTGGAATTACTGAGATTCAATCAAAACACACCAGCATTCAATCGAAGAAATTCACAAAAAAAAGAAAAAGAGAGCATAATTGTCCCATAATATTAAAGTTTGAATTACTATAGTGTGGGTCTGTATATAGTTTTTATGAATCATAAGAAAATCTGGAAGAAAATGAAGCACAAACATATTATGTGTTGTATTAGTAAGAAATTATTATTTTAAACTCTAATTTTTTCTTCTTAATATCATATTAAGGGGTGTTGTTATTTTCCATTGTTAAATTATAAATTGGGTTGGATACAGAATTTGTCATATATGGGATTCAGTTGGTAGCTTACTCATTTATAATAATATTCATTTTGTTGTTTTGCTTTGAAAGAATTGGACAGGAAGCCTCTGCTTACATCAATGAATTCTTCTAAAATTTTTTTATCCCTAAGTATGGATATTGTGTTGTCAGCTTGTGGGGACTCAATAAGATGCATTATTTCAAATTGTGTGACTAAACTCAAATGGCTAAATAATTAACAAATATCTCATGCATTAAGGAGGAAAAATGGAAACATCCTCGAGAATTGGCTCAACTAATAAGATAATTGAAATTTATGATAACAAAATAATTGTTACATTTTACTAGTAAGGATGTCAAAAATTTTATTGCAAGATATTGGGAAGACTAGAGTGGGCATGAATTTGATGTTTTATATTGAAATGAGGCTTGATATGAATTTGAAGTTACTAAGCTATTGGGATCTAGGGAATTAGAGCAATTTTTAATTATGTACACCAACTGTTTGTTGTTATGCCTGGGTGGGTTGTGATGATTTCTTCTAGGAACATATACCGTTGGATTTGGCTGTGGGATTGAAGTATGCTGCAATTTACTAATTTCAAATAGAATTCTGACCATTGAGAATTTTTTGCTTGCATTTTCTGAGAGTTAAGTATATTTGACCTTGTTTTTATTGGCAACAGTTTGTCATGAGACATGCAGAGTATCAAAAAGCAAATGATCATAGAATCAATTTTAGTTTGTCATATCATGCCAAGATCTTTAACATGCCTAAATCATGCCCATCACGATCAAATGACAAACGTTATCTGAAAGAAATTATCAATGTTCAATAAATAAATTTAGATGGAAGTTAAATATAACTCATGTTTTGAAAAGTCATTTTACTTTGATTTCATTATATTCTTTTTTTTTTTCAGAATAACCTCCCTTAGTTGTTTCAAATTAGTAGTTTTAATAAATGCTATTCAAACCTCATTTCGATATTATGTAGTTTATAGGGAAGAGTTGGCTATTTATTTATTGAAATAAATTATTTCTAAGATTGTGACACTTCTATTATTTAGAAGAGGTAGGATTATCAAATACCTTTATATATATATGTATGCCCATCTTCTATAGATGGGTAATCATTTAAGAATTATTTTGCAATCAATATATATATATACAATATATATATCCATATTAGTATTGTAAAAGTGTAAAAGAGTTGTAATTGGTTTTATAACCCAAAAACTTGTGGGGTTAAGAAAAATTTCCATGGTAATTAATCTCTTGATCACTTTCCCCTGACTTTATACATGGAACCATTCATTAAATATTCATTCAACTAATCAAGAGATGAACCAAATTAAAATCCAATTTTGGTTCATTTCTCTTCTGCCATTCATTCTTTCATTCATTCATTTCATGATGCATGCATTGCATTCCGTTGTGGATCAGCAATCCTATGATGTAAGAAAATCCTTCCCTTTTTATCATTAAATTCTTAATTCATTTTTTTTCTTTTTTAGTTTATTAATTTGTTTTTATAGCATGTGGTGCTTTGGTTTTTGGCACATGATAGAATCTCCTAGCCATTACATGGACAAATCTGAGTCCTGCACGACATCTTCCTTAACCATAACAAAAGAAAATTGAACCCGTTTTTGTCCTTTACATTTTATTTGTTGGATCCATTCTGTTTCTCCTCACTATCCTCACTCTGTAAGTGCCCAACCAATTCAAACGCCACTTCAACTAGTACCCATATTCTGTTAGCAAATACCCATGCTCTTATATAAATAAAGTTGGATGGCAATACGGTAATTAAATAACATGACAAAATTAGGGCTATTTGATTTAATATATAAATGCAGTTGATAACTAATAATTAATATTCAGTTGTCATTAATTATTGTTACTTGTAATCCAAATGCTCTTATTTGTTTTGATTAAAACTAATAACTAACAATTACTCCCTAAAAGTTTAATCAAACAGTTTTAGTGCAATTAGTTTAAGGGCCTATTTGGTATAGCGGTTAAAATTCAGCGGATAGTGGATAGCAGGTAGTGGATAGCTGTAGCGGGTAGTGGGTGGCTGATGGCGGATAACGGAAAGTGGGTAGCGGATGGTAAATAGCGGATTCGATAAATATAACTGTTTGGTTATACAATGGTTAGCGGTTGTTATTTAACATTAAATGACTAATAAGGACATGTTTAAAAACAAATAAGTATAGTTTTTAAAATATTTTTATTTTTTATTATTAAAATTATTAATTTTATAAAAAAATAATAAAATAAAAAATAAAATTAATTATAATAATGTAATTACATCATCATTTTTATTTTATTTTTTTAAAAGTATATTATTTTTAAATAAAAAATGAATTATTTTGTCTAATTAACAATTTTTTTAAGATAATATATATTTTAATTATAAATTAATGTACAAAAAAATATTATAATCACTTAATGTTATTAAAGGTAAAAAAATAAAATTGAAATTTAATAGATAATTATTAATTAAAAAATGTGATCACAAATTAAAAAATTAGAATGGATAAATTTGTAAATAAAATTAAAAAATTTTAATCCATTAGTGGTTTAGTACAAAAAGTTACATAAACTAGTTTTTTTAATCCGCTAGCGGTTTGGACTCTAACCGCTATCCGCTAGTCTCAAATCGCTAAATAAAAATTTTACCAAACACTTTATTAATAGTAGTTTCGAAATATATAAATTTATCAAACACCTATATTTAGCAGTTTAAGTAAAAACACTAATCGCTACTCTAAAACTGCTATATGAAACGGGGTCTAAATACTGTAATTTTCTTTAGCTGTATCACTTCTTGTGTTTTCCTCTCCCCTTTTTTAGATAAAGGACATTTTAGATTGTTTATAATGAAAATTGTAATTTCACAATTTCACGTCATAAGAAGAATATGATTGTGGTACATACAAGTAGAGATTTATTACTGTTAATAATTTAAAATTGAATTTTAGATTACTTGTGACATTGGTTTTCTGCCCAAGTCATTTAAAAAATAACAAAAATGAGATTTTAACATCCAATCTTACCTCTGAAAATGGCAACTCCATAAAAATTACTATATTGAGCTCTAGCTGGTATTGTGAAATGGATAAAAATATTAAATTTAAGCTTATGAAAATTGATCATATGGGCCAAAATGCAAACTAAATATCCAAGTTAAAATTAATTAACAAAAAATAAAAGTAACCCATCTCATATATATATTTTTTGATGGTTACACATCTTATATTTAATTAAGCTACCATATGTCTTTTATTTTTTCAATTCGAGATCTACCTACTTATCAAAACTTTCAAATGTTTAATAGACATACTTCTTTATTTGTATTCAACAATTTGCGGATGGACTATGACGCATTTATTTTTGGCCAACAATGGACCATGGCACATTTCTTTTTGGCCAACAATTGACTATGAAGCATTTGAACATCTTATTCTCTCAAAGATTCGACTTTTTTTTTGGTAACCATAATGAAAACACACGGTGAGGAAGTACATGCTCTATTAGTTTTTTTTTTGAAAATTTTTTCTTTATATTTGTGATCACGGTATCTTTATATCAATTTTTGTGTATTTTAAAATCATTTTTTTTTCGATTTAATCATAATAGCGCATTTCTCATATCAATTTGATACATTCAAAAAAATTAATTTCTTTAATGTTAGTTTCAAGACTTAAATTTTGAATTTAGATTATAAAACAATACTTGTTTATCAATACAACTATTAAAAAAATATATTGAACACAAGTGTAAAGTTTCTAGATATATATTGCCCCATCATCTTAGTTATCAAAATTTTAAAACAGTTTAATTAATAAAAAAACCACTATTATGTTGGTGCGGAATAAGTTATAGATTTTAGCATATTTGTGTTATTATTATGTTGGGGTAATGGTTATAATCATTATAATTTTATTAAGTTTATTAAAATTGTTATATTTTGTTCTAGTAGACTAGCAAA